GGAGGTGTGGGGGGGGGGACTCTTGCAGAGAGCGTGGGGAGGTGGCTCACTGGGGACGTCTGTGTTCTGTGGCACAAACACCGTGCGGACAACGTGTGGATGGTCCAGGGTCACGTCGGGTCGGGAAACTGAGGACTTTCTCCGCCTGCGAGGAGATCCTACCTTTATCTCCTCCGTGATTTGCATTTGATGCTTCTCCTTCTCACTTGCATTGCTGTCCGTGCTGTTTTGGAAGTCTCTGCCCTCCCTAAGCATGTATTGTTTATTATATTTTTATTGGTTTCAGAGAAAAAGAGAGAGTGAGAGAGAGAGAAACATCAATGATGAGAGAGAATCATCGCTTGGCTGCCTCCGGGGATCCAGTCCGAAACCCGGGCACGTGCCTCAACTGGGAATTGGACCGTGAGCGCCTGGTTCAGGGTTGGCGCTCAGCTGCTGGGCCACGGCTGGGCCCCGCGCACGCATTTGTGTTTACTTGGCCATGGGCCAGGGCTCAGCTCCCACCACGGGGCCTCCCCCGGCTGCCTGAGGCCTTGACCGTGGCTCTCACTGTCCTGAGAGCAGGTGGCCCCGCAGGGCGCGCAGGCAGAAGCGGCCGTGTTGTGCCCACCCAGTTCTGGAAATCACGGTCCTGTGTCTGCTTTCCCCTGCGACACGGGTCAGGCCACCGGTGCGTGGAAGGGAACCGCGTGAGCACAGGGGGTGGGCCCCTGGGGAACATGCCCGAGGCTGCTGCCTGAGCCGCTGTCTTCCCACCTCCTCACCCACCGAAAACATCCTCCCTGTACCCCATCCTTCATCCCTCTCCTGTCCTCTAACCCCCTGAACTCACCCCCCTTGTACCACCGTCCATGTCCCTCTCCGCCCACTAACCCCCTGAACACATCCCCCCTGTACCCCACCGTCCGTGTCCCTCTCCCGCCCACGTCATCAGGTTTCTGTTTCCTTGGAGCGTAGACGTGCTTCCTTGTCCTCGCACATCCCAGACCGTGTGGGACATGGCGTTCACTGTGTGCCACGTTCAGTGGGAAAGTTGGGGCCCAGCCTCCCTCACCGACCTGTGCAGAGGAAGTGGACAGACAGAGTCCGGCAGGTGGATGGAGAGAGACAACAGGTGAGGGAGAGGGAGATTAAGCCCGTGCCAGCATGCCGCTGTTTTCTAGAGATGAGGGACTAACTTACAGGGGCTCAGCGTTCTCCCTGGGGTGGTGCGTGTGGCTGAGTGCCCTGTTTTTTGCCCAGATTCCTTCAACCCTGCCCACCTGCCGTGGACAGAAGGGTCTGGCCGCTCCCTTCAGGAAAGCGGAAGTCCCTGCTGACCAGTCGCTCAGCACTGTCCCCGAAGCGTCTGTGACTCCTTCCCTGCGTGACGGAGGCCGTGCGGAGCCTTTGAGTCGCTGCTCTGCGCCGGCTCTCGGGGACAGTCCCTTCCAGCTCCATCGGTGAGCATTTACGTGTGATTTCAGCAAAGGGCACCCGGGGCTGTCGGGAGGACAACGACCCCCGAGAAGATACGTTCCGTCCCGCACGCTCTCCTCAGAGACGTCACTGCTCTCCGTCGTGTCATTCCCACCGAGGCCACAGGCACTGGGGAGATCGCGTCCTGTCCCGGACCTGAGGGCAGATCAGGACTCCCAGCTCTCCCCTCCGCCTTCCCTCGGGGTCGCACTCACTAAACGCCACCCCTCCCGTGCTGGGGGCCTTTAGGGCTCCAGGACCCCACGCCACACGCCGGGTGCGGCTCACGTGCTCAGGGCTTGGCTCTCAGTGTGTCTCTTCTCCAGGGCGGCTGCTAAGCCCTCTGTTTAGCCTGGTTCCATACAGGGACGTTTATAACTGTGCTCATATTTCCTCCCGTCTCCCTGTGGTCTATGCAGGCTTCATCGACCATGTGGCCCGGCCAGAATGGACAGTGTTTTTCACAGAATCTGCAGGGAGAGGAGAGGGTAAAACGCAGCCGCTCTGCAGGGTCACAGAGCGCAGACGGGCTGTACGTGCCTGTGTGGGCGCGGATGCTCACGATAGAAATGGGCAAGTGTTATATTTGATCATCTTTAGGGAGAAAACGGTGACAAGGGAAAAGGTTGGCAGTTCAGAACTCAGTCCGTGTTTCATTGGAAAAGGCCCGGAATGGCCGTGCGTGGGTTCAGACGCGGGAAGTGGAAGCGCACAAAGCTATCCAGGGGCACGCCAGCTCAGACCGAGTCGACCTTTGTCCTCAACACCCACGACCTTAAAATAGCAAGGTCTTCTCTTTTCCATTTTGTTCTGCATTAGCTATTGCTTTGAAATAAGTGAGAAAACAGAACATTGAAAATATTTCAATCGTTAAGGAATTACCTTCTTGTAATATTGATGTTTGATCTCAGTCTTCCTGTGGAGGGGGCTTCTGAAGAACACAGATGTGTTAGGAACTGGGTGGGAAATGAAAACTATTTTGTATTTTATGATCATTACATAGAGAACGGGCTTATCTAAATAAGCTCCGGCGACTTTTTTGCTATTAAAATTGCCTTGGGGCTGATCTCACATTAATATATTCAGCCCGTCTCCTATTTGTCATAAAATTGGACGGTTCATTTGCTAGCAAAAATACATAGTTATTCGGGAGATTTTTCCCCCCTCCTACAAAGTGTTTTAAAGGCATCCACAATGTTTAGGCTCTGTCTGTATCAATTTACAGCATCTCCTGAGCTTGATTTAAGAAACGGGAAACCTGGGTGGGATGGGGGTGGTGACACAAAGTCTTAGAGCCACAGAGCCTGCGGAGTCGTTTTTCATTCTGAAACTCGCCTTCTCTGCTTCCCGTGAAACATGAGCGCCTGCTCCCCTGAGCACTCGGGCGCAGTCGTAATTTTTCTTTTGACTTTGGGGAAGTTCAGGTTCTATATATTATTATAATTAAATTCCAGAACACTTACTTAAAACCTTCCAGGGCCTGGTGCTGGGAGAATGTCAATGTAAAGCAGGCACGTGTCTGCCTTCCAGGGGTCACATCTCTGATGTCAGGATGGGTCGAGAGAAATGCATGTGTGTGAGGGGTGGTTAGTGGGTTAGTTGCGGATGAGGAGACAAGGACGGCTGTTGGAAGGAGGGTGTATCAGAGCTCAAGTGGAAGCAGCTGACTGGACTGAAACCGTGGACACAAACAGTGTGGTGGTTGCCAGAGGGAAGGCGGGTGCGGGGGAGGGGGGCCTAATATATGGTGACAGGAGAAGATTTACTTTGGGTGGTGGGCACACGGTGCAACATACAGATCTTATAACAGAAACCCACACCTGAAGCCTGTATGTTCATGTTGATCAATGTCACCCCAATCAATTTGATTTTTAAAATACATAAATTAAAATTAACAGCCGACTAGTAAATCTGTTAACATGAAACATATAAAATTAGGAAAATCAACGTTCCATGTGGTTAAGGGGGCGCTTCCCATCTGGAAGCCGGGCGGGCGTGCAGAGCTCAGCGCCAGCAGGTGGTCTCTCCGAGCGCGGTCTCTCCCTCCCACCTCCCTCCGTGGGGTTGGGGGTCCGCCCTGCATCGCGGGGCTTCCCCGCCTCCAGGAGCTACAGGCCGCGCCTCTGTCTTGCAGGAGCCCGGTCCTGGTTTTCCAGTGCAACCACCGCCACGTGATCTGCTTGGACTGCTTCCACCTGTACTGCGTGACCAGGCTCAACGACCGGCAGTTTGTCCACGACCCGCAGCTGGGCTACTCGCTGCCGTGTGTGGGTGAGTCTCGTGCGTCCCCGGGTGGAACGCCGGCTTGGAACGAACAGCAGGGCTGCTGGTGGGAACCTGTCTCAGATGCACCCGGTCCCCAGCTGAGGGTTGGAGAGGGAAATACCTATTTGATCACTGGGGGCAAGACACAGTGATGTTTGGATCACAACAAAATACAGACACCGTGGCGCGGGAGAGCTGTGTCCAACCAGAAAGCACAAGGCCTGCCGCAGGCCTGGGCCGTGAAAGTGCGATGGTACTCAGCCCAGGCGCCTGCCGCCTGATCCTGGGTTCCCCGCAGGTGTCAGAGTTCCTAGGGAGTGATGGCGAACCTATGACACGTGTGTCAGAGGTGACACACGAACTCATTTTTTTGGTTGATTTTTCTTTGTTAAATGGCATTTAAATATATAAAATAAATATCAAAAATATAAGTCTTTGTTTTACTATGGTTGCAAATATCACAAAATTTCTATATGTGACACGGCACCAGAGTTAAGTTAGGGTTTTTCAAAATGCTGACATGCCGAGCTCAAAAGGTTCGCCATCACTGTCCTAGGCTGCTCCAGAGCAGCACCGCCCGGAATGGGAAGCCAAGCGCTTCATTTGCTAATCATTGGGAGCGCCTACACGTGTGCGAAACAACATATAAAGGGTGTCCCGAAATTCACGCAAGATTTGAATTTTAGTGAAAGCGCGATGGTGCTCAGCCCAGGCGCCTGCCGCCTGCTCCTGGGTCCCCCGCAGGTGTCAGGGTTCCTAGGCTGCTCCAGAGCAGCACCGCCCGGAATGGGAAGCCATGTGCTTCATTTGCTAATCACTGGGAGCGCCTAAACGTGTGCGAAACAACATATAAAGGGTGTCCCAAAATTCACGCAAGATTTGAATTTTGCGTGAGCATTAACAACAACAACAACAAAAAATAAAAGCCTAATTTTACTTGGTTTATTGAATCAGATTCTAATATCTGTTGCCCTTTGATTTCAATCCCTTCAATTTGATAAGCATTACCAAGTACCAATTAAGGCCCAGGAGCAGGGACAATGAAGACCAATGAAGACCACGGCTTTGCGTATGTGCCAGCAAAGCCGTGGAGGCCATTTACCCGATGTGCTATTCCATACATAACCCTATTCTGTATACTTTATGAATCAATAAAAAATTTACAATTTTTAATTCTAAACCTGTGTTTTGTATCAAAATACTTCTTGCGTGAATTTTGGGACACCCTTTATTAAAAAAGGAATCAGAGAAGGATGCGATGGAGCTGAAATATTTAAGATTTGAAATATTTTTTAAATCTTTCAACATTTACAACATTGTACTTGCACTATATTACTATTATTATCTGTCTTTTTAATTGCGGTGAAGTTCATAGAACATACAGTTAACTGTTTTAAGGTGTGCAGTTCAGTGGCATGTTGTGCACTCACAATGCAGGGACCACCCAGCTCCCTCTAGATTTAGAGCGATTTTATTACCCGAGAAAAAACAGCCCATGTCCATTCAGTAATCTCTTCCCGTCCCCCCTGACCCCCAGCTCATAGCAGCCACTGTGGTTTGTCTCTATGGGTTTGTCCATTCTGGATACTTCGATGAAAGGGATCATACAACCCATGACCCATTGTGTCTGCCTTCTTTCACTTAGCGCAATGTTTTTGAAGTTCATCCGAGTAGTGGCATGTATCTTCTTCGTTCCTTTTCATGGCTGAATCATATTCCATTATACGGATAGACCACAGTTTGTTTATCTATTCATTTGTCGATGGGCATTTGCATTGTTTCCACCTTTTGGCGATTATGAATAATGCTGGGTCGTATTGTAATTCTGCGTTTAACCTGTTGAAGGCCTATCAAAGGACTTTCCGTAGCTGAGACACCATTTTGCAGTATCTCCAGCAACTTATAAGGGTTCTGTTTCCTCACATCCTCACCAACATTTGTTACTTTTCATTGTTGTTGTCTCAGTGGCCGTCCTGATAGTGTGAAGTGGCATGTTGTTGTGGCTTTGATTTGCATTTCCTTCCTGACCAACCGTGTTGAATATCTCTCATATGCTTGTTTGCCACTTGAATATCTATTTGGAGAAATGCCTGCTCAAGTCCTTTGTGCATTTTTAATGGGGTTGTTTGCCTTGCTGTTGAGTAGGAAGCATTCGTTACGTATTCTGGACACTAGACTTGATCAGATATATGATTTCCAAACCTTCTTCCTATTCTGTTGGCTGGTGATAATGTCCCTTGATACACAAAAGTGTTTCATTTTGATGAAGTCCAGTTTCTCTTTTTTTTTTTTTCTGTTGCTGCTTGTGCTTTTGATGCCAAATGTAAGAATCCATTGCCAAATCCACGGTCATGAAAATAGACCCCATGGTTTCATTTGATAGCTTAGCCCAGGGGTCCTCAAACTACGGCCCACAGGCCACGTGCAAATACAAATATTGTATTTGTTTTTTTACTTCAAAATAAGATATGTGCAGTATGCATAGGAATTTGTTCATAGTTTTTTTTAAACTATAGTCCGGCCCTCCAACGGTCTGAGGGACAGTGAACTGGCCCCCTGTTTAAAAAGTTTGAGGACCCCTGGCTTAGCCCTTGTATTTAGGTCACTGATTAGTTTGAGTTCATTTCTGTATGTGGAGTGAGGTAAGGGTCCGCTCCTCATTATGAGTTTGCTTTTATTGACTGCGGTGTGAGTAAATGTGCTTCATTGGTTCTGAGAATTGTGGCTGGAAACTGTGCGACACCTTGATTGATTGGTCAGACTGTAAGTTCAGTTTCTTTCAACACTTTGTTCTAATATTGATCAAAGCTGAACAGTGCACCTCAACAGTCTCTCAGAGACCCAGTGGAAGTAGCTACTTGCGTCATTGGCTTTGTAAATTATGACATTCATTTTTCAATTGCATCTGCCAATAATGCACTGGTTTGTAAATTAGGATTTACATAATATATGTGTCAGTATATTGTTAAGGGAAACTTATTGAAAGGTACTGCACTTTCACATCTTTAACAAAAGGGTTCAAAAGTCAGTGAAACATTTATTTGAAGTTTGGAAAATTCTGTTTCTGTTTTTAATTTTTTAATGAGATTTTAAAAAATGGATAAACCTTCTTCCTTCGCAAAACCAAGGAACATGGAAACATTGGAAAATATCCATTTTCAAAATTTATCTTCATAGCCAAGCTACTTGTAAAAATCAGCTTCTCGTGTATTTTTTAAATTTTAAACCTTTTTCATGATAGAAAATGTCAAACATATAAAGGAACCCACTTGGTCCACATGAGCCAGGCTTTCTCATGCAGCAGCAAGTCCAGGCTTCTTCTGGGACCCTCTCTCAATAGCCTGGAGTCGGCCCATTTCTAAGGCGCTGGCTCCTGTAACAGGACACGGCGCGCAGCAGTCCCGGTCTCGGTGCCAGTGGGCTCCCTGTAAATGTACCTGCCTCGTTACTGCTATTTAAGCATAATCTCCATGAAACCCCGCCTTCATTTTTTAAAATGCCACCTCCTGTTGAGAACTATCCTCCTTGACTCCACTTTCCTTTAATGTTCGACAGCAATAAGCAGAAGGCTGTCTGTCTGTGTGTGTTGTTATTAGAAGAGAATGTAGCAGGTGACCGCAGCCCGGGCAGGGCGGATGCAGCCGGCTGTTTCCGCCTGTGCAGCGACCCTCCCACACCGCGTACTTCATTCATTCCAGCACCACTTCACATCTTCACCAGTGTTTGCCTGTACACAGCAGTAAAACCCCACCTTCATTTTTTAAAATGCCACCTCCTATTGAGAACTATCCTCCTTGACTCCTCTTTCCTTTAATGTTCGACAGCGGTAAGCAGAAGGCTGCCTGTCTGTGTGTGTTGTTATTGGAAGAGGATGTAGCAGGTGACCACAGGCCGGGCAGGGCGGACACAGCCGGCTGTTTCCACCTGTGCAGTGCCCTCCTACACCGCGTACTTCATTCATTCCAATACCACTCTTCACATCTTCACCAGTGTTTGCCTGTACACAGCAGTCCCCCCGGACCCACGGCTTCACTCTCCGAGGTTTCACTTCTCCCCCGTTAACCACGCTGAAAATATCCAGCGGGAAAATTCCAGAAATAAACAATTCAGACGCCTCTCGTTGGGCACCATTCTGAGTAGCCACTTCGTAGCCGCCTATAGTGTCGCAGGGCTAGTGCTCAAGGCGCCCTGAACTTACTCAATCCATCCCCGAAGCGCAAGAGCAGTGGGGCTGGCAGGAGGCTGGCATTGGGATCTGCCAGGGAACAGCCAGAAAGCACTTCCTTTAAGTGACAAGGCGGGTGCGGGACAATAGATGGTTTAAGAGGGAGGGAGGAGGGGGGAGAGAGGGGCCTGCTTTATGAATTAAGCTCTAGCACAGGGGTGTCTGTGTAAGGAAAATCATTGTATACAGCATTCAGTCCTACCCGCATCTCGGGCATCCACTGGGGGCGGGGCACATATCCCCCATGGACGGGGACTGCCGTTTTCCCAAAGCACTTACTCAACAAAATACAGTTCCGCTCGTCCCCATATTGCTGTCAGGTACTAGCTCAGCCTTCTTATTTTTGCTGTGACTCACATGATGTTTCCCCATCCTATGTAAAAAGAGACTTTCCAGTGTTACCTTAGAATGTTTTTATAGAAACAGACCGATTGTCTTGAGTTTGCTCAACAGAGACCCTCTCCTCGTTTATCACTCGCTTGATTTCTAAACGTCTTGCTACGCGTAATGGCTTCACGCCCCACCTCGTTCATATCCCAGGGCCTATTACAGCCTCAAGGTGAGGTCCGCCGTCAGGGCCCACGGCGCTCCCTTCCTCGGCTGCCATCCTCCCTCCGGGCAGGCGGGCCTGCTTTATTAGCGCTCTCCTGAACTAATGGCTTCTTTGCAGGAACCTTGACTCTCCTGAAGTCACGTATGTGGTTTAACAGAGTTAGTTAAGTGAGAGAATGTAGCCACGCACAGGCAACCTCTGCCAAAGGGAGCTAACAGCGAGGGCCTC